AGATGGCCTCCTGCACACGCCAGGACCAGGGCCTGGCCAGCAAGGAACCTGCAGCCTAAGTACGTTCCCTTGACTGGAATCAAACCTCAGGCCATTTGGTCCGCAGCCCGATGCTCTATCCACTAAGCAAAACCGGCTGGGCAAGATTTGCTTTGATGACAGGTGCTTTTGGGGTCAGGTAAGAATACTTAAAAAGAAAAAATTTTTGTAAGACAATTTTCAGGTTCCTGTCATTAAGATAGAAGGTGCTGCCCTGATTGATTTGGCTCAGTGGATAGAGCGTCAGCCTGCGGACTCGAGGGTCCCAGGTTCGATTCCGGTCAAGGGCATGTACCTTGGTTGTGGGCACATTTCAGTGGGGAATGTACAGGAGGCAACTGATTGATGTTTTTCTCTCATCGATGTTTCTAACTCTCTAACCCTCTCCGTTCTTCTCTGTAAAAAAAAATCAATAAAACATAGGGAAAAAAAGATAGAAGGTGCTGTCAGATACTTTGAAATGCTCCTTTTGGTAAAGACTTATCCTTTTATTGATCACTGGAGGCCTGGTGCACAAAATTTGTGAGCTCAGGGGGGTCCCTCAGCCCGGCCTGCACCCTCTTGCAGTCCGGGAGCCCTCAGGAGATGTCTGACTGACATCTCCCCAGGCCTAACCGTCAGTTGGACATCCTTAGTGCTGCCATAGAGGCAGCTTACCACTGCCACTGAGCTTGCCCGTGTGAGCCCAGCTTCTGGCTGAGCAGTTTTCCCCCTGTGGGAGCACACTGACCACCAGGGAGAAGTTCCTGCATTGAGTGTCTGCCCCCTGGTGGTCAGTGCGTGTTATACTGACAGGTAGTTCTGCTGTTTGGTTGATTTGTATATTAGCCTTTTATTATACTAGAGGCCTGATGCATGACATTTGTGCAAAGGTAGGCCTTTGCAGCCCCGGCTACCTCCTGGCCTGGCTGCCTCATGGCCCCGCCCCCTTCTGCACCCACCTTGGTCTGGCACTGCCCGTGTCTGCCACCACCCACCCCTTCCCTGGAGCCCCTCAATAATCACCCCACAGAGGGTGGCCTGAGCCTCCCTCTGGGGCGATTGTGGGGCCATGGCGAACCTGCGGACCAATCGCATTGCACTCACCTCAGCTGGGCTGGTGCCAGTGCATGTCCTAGTGTGGTTGTCTGGGAGGTCGTCCTGACAGTTGTTCTGCTGTTCAGTCATTCAGTCAATTTGCATATTACACTTTTATCATTACAGATAGGATGCTCTTTGCTAACGATTGTCATTCTGAAAAGAATTGAATACATCTTAAATATTAACATGGTTTCTATGGCCCGTGTAACATGGGATTTGATGCAACACTTAGAAAGACAATTTATTAGGAATTTTGTGATTTATTTGGCATCTGTACTTCTTAGTACATTCTAATGAATTGATATTTTAGTTTTAGCGGTTCATGAAATATTGAGTGACCTCATTCAACTTCTGTAATGGCCAGACCAAGGAGAGCAGACCTTACCTTAATGGAGATTTTCTAATTGCAAGTATTTTGTTAGCCCAACTGGGAAACACAGGCTTTCTTTTTGGCAAATAAATAGAAATTCATATGAAACTGTATATTATATTGATTTAAACTTCATGTTCATATGATACTATGTTTGTAAATGTTCAAAATAAAATGTTTGTTTTTTATTTCATTGGATATGGTGCTAGCCTTACCCACCTCCCTTTCCCCCTGCCTCTCCATGTCAAATTTCTATTTGTTTCCTGTCTTAAAACACCAGGTCAGAAAGAAGTGCCCTTCAGCTATGCAGCTTAAGAGAACAAGGCTCTAAAACACATGAGCTACCAGGATTCAACTGCTGATCACGGTTCTTCTTTTTTAGGTTTACAAATGCAAAGTATTGCATTCTTTAAAAAAAAAAAAAAAATCAAAGGCATCTTTTATCTTTTATCAAAGCCAAAGGCATCTTTTAACACCCTTTGAACTTCAAAAAGTAAACTTTGAACTTAAGCCAGTTGAGTGTGTAGTCTTATCTTAGTTCCCATTCTCTGGATCTTATTTATTAATCTCTGTTTATGAACTCAAAGAATAAGGATAACAAAAATTCCTGAAAATGTGCTCTAAAAAAATAAGTATTTAAGATTTTTTCCTGCCCTGCCGGGGTGGTTCCCTAGTTGAGCATCAATTCATGAACCAGGAGGTCACAGTGTGATTCCCAGTCAGGGCACATGCCTAGGTTGCTGGTAGGGGGTGTGCAGAAGGCAGCCAATCGATGATTCTCTCTCATCATTGATGTTTTTAATCTCTCTCTCCTTCTCCCTTCATCTCTGAAATCAATAAAAATATATTTTAAAAAAGATTTTTCCTGCATTGTCTTAAGAATTTATGAAGAAAACGCTCAAATTAAATGTATAGATTGATCTCCAGAAACCAAAAGGATACAATCCTTTAAAAAAATATATATTTTATTGATTTTTTTATAGAGAGGAAGGGAGAGAGATAGAGAGCTAGAAACGTCAATGAGAAAGAAACATCGACCAGCTGCCTCTTGCACACCCCCTACCGGGGATGTGCCCGCAACCAACATACATGCCCCTGACTGGAATCGAACCTGGGACCCTTCAGTCCGTAGACCGACGCTCTACCACTGAGCCAAACCGGTTTCGGCAAGGATACAATTCTTATACAACCTTCATTTAACATTTTAAAAATTGCTTTCTCTTTCTTATTATTCATATCTTGTCTAAATCCTATTGTTTAAATTTCCAAAATTTTAAGCATGACATAGTCACAATACAGGGTAATATCTCCAAGCCCCACTAAAAATGAGTAAAAGTATGCAAAAAGTACAGTTAGCAGGATAAATCAAAAGGAGAGAGACATTAAGATACATTTCAAAAAACATTTGGCAAGTGGAAGAGCGGCACTTGATGGAACTCATATAGTCAGTTATGACCCAAGTTTTCCTGAAAGTGGGGAGGACATACACTGAGGAGAAGCCATCCCAATAACCCTAAAGAACCCATGAGACACCAGGGCCCCAAGACCCACAAAAGTGTCCGTGAGATTCAGGACCAAAAACAAGGGAAGTGATAAAAGTCAGCAGTGAAATCACTGGACCCCTGTTGCCCTGCCCTTTCTCAAACCCTCACCAACCTCTGTCTTCAAAAGCAAAGAAAGGGCGGGAATCTTGGGGAAACAGAGACCCTGCAGGATATGAGAGATAAAATTGAGAATTCTAATTTTTTTCTTATAAATGTGTGGTGTTGGAAAATAATTTCCATAAAAAGTTAAAGTGAGAAAATTATTGTCAATTCAAACATGCTTATTTCTTAATAGTGATCATTGGAGGACCCTCTAAGGCACACGGCATGTCTGTAAAGCAGACATTATTAGACCTGGATGAGAAAATTAAGACTTAGAGTAATTTGCTGAAACCAGTTTGGCTCAGTGGAGAGAGCATCGGCCTGCAGACTGAGGGGTCCCAGGTTCGATTCCTGTCAAGGGCATGTACCTTGGTTGCAGGCACGTCCCCGGGGGAGGATGGGGGGGCCGTGTAAGAGGCAGCTGATTGATGTTTCTAACTCTCTATCCTTCTCCCTTCCTCTTTGTAAAAAAAAATCAATTAAAAATATTAAAAAAAAAAAGTCTTAGAGTGATTAAGTAGCTTATCCAAAGTCGCACACCTACTAGTGATTCTTGTGCTCAAATTCAGCTCTGCTACTTCACAAAGATTCCGTTTACAGCCGCTCTGCACATAGGGACATTTCTTCAGGAGAAAGAGAGACATGTGGTGGAGCATTCCTTACAAGTTTAGAAAGTCTAATTATTTCATTGTTTAATTAGATTTATGAACTTGAAATTTAATGGCTGGTATAAATACTTTCAAATTTTTTCCCTAGACCTGCAAATACTCACAATTAAATTGAGAAATACAAATTAACTGAACAATGTTGGCCAATCTTACCAAGAGCTGCTTATCTTTTCCCCATTAGTTATTTCCTCTGAGACTGTTTTTCTCTCATTCTAATGTGTTCTAAATCCTTTGTCCCCTTATCAAAGTTTTGCTCTGGCTAATAGTTTTTAATATGATTTCTACTCATTCAAACAATGAGCTTAAAATTTGTTGTATTTTTTACCAATCTTTGCCAGGTAGTCTAAATAGAAATTTGCATATTCACATCTGAAAAGTTCCTGTTTTCTCCATAGGAATACTTGGGCGGAGCCATCCCTCGGGAAAGGGGCTGAGGTTGGGGGAGGAGAGTGAAGAATTGGTAGAATGGGTGGGGGCATGGATTTGTGGGGAGATCTAGAAGGAAAAACTTTACCATAGCTTTTGTTCATTTGCCACAGCCAGCATTTTTTTAAGGCAGGTTAAGTAAAATAAAAAAGTATATCAAAAACAAAAGTACAGAGGAGAAAAACTCTGCACCATAAAATGTTGTGTAAAGATGATATGCAAATAGGGGAAGAGCCATGTCACCCAGTATAATTCAGATGATGTTAGGCTGGGGGACATTCTTTTTTAAAAATATATTTTATTGACTTTTGACAGAGAGGAAGGGAGAGGGACAGAGAGTTAGAAATATCAATCAGCTGCCTCCCACACACCCCCTACTGGGGATATACCCGCAACCAAGGTACATGCCCTTGACCGGATTCGAACCAGGGACCCTTGAATCCACAAGCCGATGCTCTATTCACTGAGCCAAACCAGTTTCAGCTGGGGAACATTCTTGAATGTGTTCCAGCCTCGATAGCCTCTGAGCAGCAACTGGGAAGCTATTCCTCCACCACCCTTCAGCACGCTTCCCCAGTTGAGAAGACCCTCAAAAAGCCTGGCTTGAGAAGCTGGGTTTAGATTTATACCAACTAGCCTGTCAACCTTGAGAATATGAATTTGCTCCTGTGTCTGAGAAATGAGGAATGTGACTTCCAGAATCCTGCAGTTTGCTTCAGAGTTCCTCCAGCAAGCTAAGGGAGATCTGCTTGGACTACATGTGTCCTTTGAAAGGTACCTGGCCTGGTGACTTTAAAGAAGCTCCCCTGCGTTAGTTTTGCTGGTGTTGATAGTCTGGATGATGTTAAAAATCATACATACAATGAATTATTTATATCTGGAGGTTTTATTGTTTCTGATGAATCCATTCTAAATCCAGAAGTTATCACAATTGAAAACCTTAAAAATTTTTTGACATTCCTTGAGGAACTTAGTACTCCAGAAGGAAAATGGCAATGGAAAGTCCACTGTAAGTTTCAGAAAAAACTAAAGGAACTGGGCAGATTGAATGCTAAAGCTCTAAGTCTGTTGACGCTTCTGAATGTCTATCAGAAGAAACATCTGGTTGAAATTTTGTCTTACCACAATTGCGATTCACAAGCTCGAAATGCTCCAGAATTGGACTGCCTCATTAGACTTCAGGCTCAGAATATACAGCAACTACACATTGTTTTTTTTAACAGAAAAGAATATCCAGATGCCCTCAAGTTATACAGACAGTGGAATAGTAGTTGCATCTGCTGCAGCTTTTATGCAAAACTTTAAAGATCTCGTGGGCTATCACAACTTGGTCACAGAAGAAAACCTTCCACTGCTTGGTGCTAATGAGAATCTTGAGTCGCAGTCAGATGCTGTTTTGACATTAACCCCTTTGGAGCTGGGAGTTGGGATTTCCCAACATTAAACGTGAACACATTTCGCAGAAGCTTTTAGCATCGGATTATCTGGACATTCACACCTAGTGTGAGTGTTGTGACTAAGTGAACTTGTGGCAGAAGACCAAGATTTAAGGGATTGTGGACTTGCAGACCCTGACGCATTATATTGTGTGAGTAGTGTGTAATTTTAAAGTTTAAATTGTGTATTTCAATAGAGTAGGACTTTTTGTTTTTTAAATGTAGCTCTTTTAGAAAACGATGAAAAGGATGAAGAGGATATGTCTCTGGATTCAGGGGATGAAATCTCACAAATAGAAGTGTACAGCAGTTCAGAAATATTGGCGAAAGAGACCAAAGGATCACGTGGAACAGATCAAAATAAGAATATTCAAATTGAGTTGCAGTCTTCTCTTGACGTGCAAAAAAGTTTATTAGAAGATAAGACTTATCAAATTGATTCTGAAGAGAGAGCTTCTATTGATGTAAGCTCTGAAGGACAGAACAATTCAGCTGAACAAGATTCATATAGCAACTTTCAGGTTTATCAAAATCAATTAAATATGTCCCATCAGTGTAGTCATTTTAATGCTCTCACTCACCAGACATTTTTGGGAACACCATATGCCCTTTCATCAAGTCAGTCTCAAAGTGAAAATTACTTTTTATCTGCTTATTCTGAAAGGTTGGGGGGAAAATGACTTTCCAGGCCATCTTCAAAAGAAAAATAATTACAGTAACTTTTTTTTTTTTTTACATAGGTTGTTAATGGACTTTTTCTGTTTCTTAAAAGTGAATTAACAATTTATATTTCATTCTTTAAGCAAGAGGTTTCTGTCCTTACTGAAATGTTTCCCCCCTTTTATTTAAATCATGATGGCCTGTAACCGTTAAAGCATATGGAAATTGAAATAAATATATATATATATATATATATTTTTAACATAAAAAAAAAAAAAAAAGCCTGGCTTGATCAGGCCCGGTTGCTGGAAACTGCTTGAAAATACTCTAAGTCAATTATGCTGCACATCTCTTTTCCTTTCTGCTACCTGGGTTCCTGACAAAGTATGTTAAATGCTAAGGTTTACAATCTATGTGGAACGCTAAGGCCCATGAGAGATAAAAGAGAGAATTCTAAAATAGAATGAAAATTATTTAAAGTGAGAATTCTCAAAGAGAGTGAAACAGAAGGCATTTAAAATGAATTGCCTTATAACTTTTCTCTTTAAAATTTTTTTCTGCTTTTTCTTTCTTTTTCTATTTTATTCTCTCCTTCTTGTAGAGACATTTGTTAACGTTTCTAAGTAAAAGTACATTTGTTAGTGAGGGGGGGGGGAATTCGTTATGTTGGTGATGATAAATTTGTTGCTTTATTGGTAAATTTAATCTTCGTGTGAGTATGTGCTAGAGAAGAAAACGTCACTTTGGCTCTGCGTGCAAATAAGGATAATGTTCAGGCAAAAGCAAGAGGGCAAGGGACTTGCTTTAATTCATTTGGCCATGTCTCCTTTCCCCCTACAGTAAGTATTTTGGACATAAATCTGTACAATTTGCTTTGGAGTATACTTTCTCACCATTTGATTTAGGACTTGGCTGTGTGACTTCCGGTGCCCAGTGTAATGCTAGCAGATGTGATACAACCAGAGGGTGAAAATATACTTGTAGTTGGGCCTCGTCGGTTTTACTCAATGGATAGAGCATCTGCCTGTAGACTGAAGGGTCCAGGGTTTTATTCCAAATAAGGGCATGTGCCTCAGTTGACCCCTGGCCCTGGGGCACGTGCGTGGAGGCAACCAATAATGTGTCTCTCTCACGTCAATGTTTCTCTGTCTGTCTCTACCCCGTCCTTCCACTCTCTCTAAAAATCAATGAAAAAGGATCATCAGGTGAGGATTAACAACAACAACAAAAGTATATTTGCAGTTTGATTTTCCCTTTTGTATTCCTGTGCACTGTTGTAAGAAGAAATGCTCTGAGTAGCCAGTGGTCCCAGAGTGAAAATACAGAAAGTCTCAAGCAAAGCTAGACCAGTTGCCCTGCGATGTGCTTATGAATGAGGATACTAAAATGTTGCTGTTAGCCACTAAGGTTTTGTTATGCGACAGTATGGCAGCAATAGCTGACTAATAGTGTTGTGAGGGATTTCTACAAATACCAATGTGATCCTTTCAGCTAATTACAACAAGGGGAGAAATTTTGAAAATAAAAAAATAACGCATAGAAAATATACTGCTCCTTTTCAAGAAAAGAGGTATTTTAAGAACACTTTGCCCATAAATATTTGCCAAGGTTGGCAAGAGAAGAGCTTTGCAACAAACCAGCCAATGTAGCAGAGTACAGGAGAGGCAGAGTTGGAACAATCAATACATCTTTAAGAAATATCATCTATATATGTAAAGAGCCAGGGTTGTAACATCCACAACGACCAAATGCTAGGCTGCTTGCATAGCAGGTGAGCAGGCTGAATTGTTGACCTCCCAGAGAGAGAGAGAGGTGGGGCTGATCAGAAGCTGCAGCGGCTGCTAGCGAGGCTGAAGAGAGAAATAGGGTAATCAGACCCTGCTTTTCTCTCCAGCCTCGCCAGCATTCAAGCCTCTCTCTCTCTCTCCCAGAGATCTCCAGTTCAGCCTGTTTGCCAGCAGCCTGGGGTTGCTGCTGATCAGCTCCACCTCTAAAATCAGGCCCAGAGATAGGCCCAAAGATACTGACTGGCATAGAAACTGACCAATCAGAACCAAATCTGGGTGAAGTGCAAGAAGCCAAAGGCTGCCTAGAAGGCAGAGCTTTTGACACAGACTGGCATAGAAACTGACCAATCAGAACCAAATCTGGGTGAACTGCAAAGGCAGAACTTAAGGTGGGGCTGTTTGGTATAAAGTGTAAGAAAGTGATTCAATTTTTTAATGACCAGTTTGGCAGTATAGTGCATATGGCTGGCTATCAGTCCAGATATAGGAATTATGTCTTTTTGTCTCCCAAGAGTATCTCCTCCTGCTGAAAAAGGCTATTCTCCCCATTTAAGCAGTCCTATCCTATATAATCTATCTATGGTAATAAAAGGGTAATATGCTAATGAGACCAGGTTGACTGGCCATCTTCCAGACATCTGACTTCCTTCTGGACAAAGCCATGGTGGTGGGGGCCAATGCAGAGGCAGTTAGGGGCAATCAGGCTGGAGGGGAGGGCAGTTGGGGGTGATCATTCAGGGAGGCAGAGAGGTTAGGGGTGATCAGGAAGGCGGGGGTTAGGGGGGAAGGGAAGGTAGGGATGATCAGGATGGCAGGGGGCAAGGTAGGAGTAATCAGGCTGGCAGGGGGGCAAGGTAAGGTTGATCAGACCAGCAAGCAGAAGGTTAGGGGTGATCAAGCAGGCATGCAGAAGGGTTAGGGGCAATCAGGCAGGCAGGAGAGTGGTTAGAAGCCAGTAATTCTGGATTGCAAGAGGGATGTCTGACTATTGGTTTAAACTTGGAAAGGGTACTGGCTGGGCTGAGGAACCCCCTCCATGCATGAATTTCGTGTACTAGGCCTCTAGAACTATATAATCTTATATAATAAAAGCCTAATATGCAAATTGTCCCCTTGACCAGTAGTTCCACTGGAGTTTGACCAGGGGACTGGGTTGGCTGGCCAACCTCCTGAATCCTTTCCCCCTGCCAGCCAGTTCCTGATTGGCCCTGATCTGGGTGGCCAGCCAGACCCCATCTGTGCATGAATTTGTGCACTTTCCTCTAGTATATTATATGAGATGAGAGAGACAGAGACAGAGAATTGATTTACGCAATTATAGAGGCCGCAAAGTCCAAAATCTGGTGGCTAGCACCTGGTGGAGGCCAGGAAAAACCCATTGCTGCAGATGAAGTCCAAAGGCCATTTGCTGGAGAATTCTCACTTGCTCAAAGATGCTAGTCTTTTTGTTCTATGCAGACCTTTAACTGATTGGATGAACCCACCCACATTAAATAGGATAATATGCTTTACTTAAAGTCCACAGATTAAAATGTTAATGTCATCCAAAATCAACCTCACAGAAACACTTGTAATAATGTTTGTCCAAATATCTAGCCACCCAACCCCCCAGTTAAGTTGACACATAAGATTAGCCCACACAGTCATTTGAGGTTAATATTGATCATAAGCCTAAACTTGGTGTAGCAGGATATGTACCCAAGACTGATATAAGAGCATTGAAGTCATTGATATGAAGAAGACTGAGTCCCGGGTCAACCAGTGTCCAACAGAAGACTACATACTAATTGTTTCAACAACAATCTTGAGAAAGAAAAACAAAGTTGGAGGAATCCTGCTACCTGATATCAGACTATATACTACAAGGCCATAGTAATCAAAACATCATGGCGCTGGCATAAAAACAGACATATAGATCAATGGAACAGAATAGAGATCCTAGAAGTAAAACTCATGCCTATATGGCCAATTAATATTTTAACTAACTAACTAATTAATTAAAAATATATTTCTACTAGTTGCTCTGTGCATGTATCCATGTGCCAGTAGCTCTCTGTGGGGCCTGGCTGCTCCATGCCTGCTGCCCAGAGGCTCTCCACTGTCCAGAGGCCCATCCATGGCCAGGCGAGAAATGCTTGCCTTGTCACTGGATGGATGACGCAAGCTTTCCCATCCCCTGCCACTCCATGCCCACTGCTCAGAGGCCCTCTGTGGCTGGGGTGGAACAAAGCAAGCATTCCACCAGGCCGCTCATGCTGCCCACTGTAAGTGGCTAACCCCTGGGCCTGGGGGTCTCTGGTGGGGCTGAGAGGACTGGATGCTGCCATCTTGTGGCTATGGGCACTGCCATCTTTGTGACGGAATGATGGTTAATTTGCATATTACCCTTTTATTACAAAAAAACTTGGGATGGTGAACAAACACATAATACAATATATAGATGATGTGTTATGGAATTGTATAGCTAAAATCTATATAATTTTATTTACCAATATCACCCTAATAAATTCAATAAAAAACAAAAATAAAACAAATGCCTTATAAAAAAGAAAAGAAAATATTCTCCAAATTGAGCTTGAACTTTCATTTTATATTATTTAGTTTGTGTCTTGAGTGACTACCATACAAGTGGTTCTGAAGTCCCTGCCAAAATCCTCCTCAATGCATTTGGCTTGGTTTTGAAGGATAGCATTTATTGGATACATAAGATATAGCTTATGTCCTTATCAAATCATTAAAATAAGTAGACAAAGATAGTCCAAATTGAACTCAGTTTTAAATTAAAAGTATTTTCCCTAGCTCCAAGAAAATGCCTATTGTTGTTCTAGTATATGTGTTCCATACTCGTATTTGTATTTGCCAAACAATCATTCCTCCAGAGATACCCTATGACTGCTTTTAATTGAAACACGTTGGACTGCTTTATCTGATGTCCAAATCCTACAAAAATATTTCTATGGAAAACTGGCTAATAGTGCACTGTGCATCTTTAGGCCAAGGTATGTACTACACAGCTCAAATTATGTTCAGTTCTAATCCATGGGGAGCAATGCTCAACACAGAGTTGTTGGTCCTGTGACCCAGGAGATTATTGTCAAATATCTCAAATAGGATTACTAAGCCAAGTGGCTATGTGTTTTTAATGTAAAACTGACTCAGGTTTATATCTGTCATAAACTCAGGGTGGTTTTGTTTCAAGGTTTTTTTCATAATAGTAGGTAAGCTATTCTGCAGTAAGTCTGAATGCACATTACTAAATTTTTAAATTTCATTTTGTTTTTATTTGAAAAAATTTTAATATAATTCCAGGTTATTACAAGCATTTTCCATTAATTTAAACATGTGTTTAATTCTGCTCATATATAAAGTGATTACTACCCAAATAAATTCGAATGGCTTATTGCAAATTCTTCTTCAGTGATGCTTAAGGTTCCCCCCTCCCCAAAAGAAAACCCTATATTTTTCTCCAATGTAG